AGGGTCACAGCAAAACAGACAGCAACCATACAAAAAACCAAAGGGGATCCTGTTCTGCCTTTTTCTAAATTGATAATTGGTATATCATGAAATTATTGATATCTTTTTCCATATGCTAACATTTTTCTAGGATGGTGGTAGAGGACTTAAGTCAGAAGAAGGAAAAATGATCTGGATATGGTGTGCGTGTGTGGTGTGTGTTTATATGTGCGTGTGAGCGTGTTGTTTTTTGTACACATGCTTGTCCACATTTCTACAGAATGTGAGTGATACGCTTCTTTCTGAAGTGTGTCATCGTGCACCATAATTACACCTGCCCTAACTGTGTGAGCATATGTATTCAACTACCCATGTGTACGCGTGTGTGTGTGTGAGAGAGTGTGTATGTGTGCACACGCCTTTCAAGCTTGTAGTATGAACGCCAGCCTGCTTTCAATATAGCCTCTTATTAGGTGGTGATTATCTTGCCTGCATCTGGCTTCTTTCAGCCTTTGACTGGGAGTTGGAGAGGCCAGGGGCACTCTGGGAAGAAAGGAGTGAAAACTTCCTGAACCTAGCATTCACCGCCCTACTCCTCAACTCCAGTGTACCCCTCAACCTCTCAAGGAACCACCTTATATTTACAACAGTGTTTTTTCTATAAACAATAGGAAAAAATCTATACTGGGTGGAGAAATGTGTAGGTGTTGCTCAAACTCTTTCCATACAAGGATGCATTATGTAGGGTAGGGCTGTCCAGACTTAAGATTTTCTAAGTCGACCAGTAGTTGTTCATTTAAGCCAATAGTTTGTTGGTCGTTGAATATTAATGATTTTAATTTTACTCTATAAATACTTTTTTTAAAGTACGGCTGTGAAATTATTCCGTATGTTTCAGAACAACCAGCAATAAGATTGAACATTTAGGTTCTGTGCTGCGACAATCACCTGACACACTAGTCTCCTGTTTGAAGCTGCTACGTCCACGACTAACAGTTTGCTCAGCTATTAGGGGACAGCCCTAATCTAGACCAGGAAAGGTACTGTGGAAGTTCCCTTCCAATTAAGTTGTATGTTATACAAAATGTTAATGAAAGTTACAGGCTAGATTAAAAGCAGACATGGCTCAAACTGATGACCAGACAGTTTTTTAAACAACTCCTGTTATTTAGGGACATAGTCTGTCTTGTGAATTATTGTTTACCCGGGGGTCTTCTGTTGCCTGTGACCGGAAGACGGAGAGTCAAACATTTCATCGACCTCATATCCAGCCACAAGCTTCATTAGTTCTTCGCCTGCTGTCCACGACTCATATCCATTTTTGTTTGCTGCTGAATATAAGCGTTTCCATCTTCTAAGCTAGCTTCTTGCTTGGTGATATGCATGATTACTTATTTTATGGGGGGCATAACTGTAATATTATTACTGAATTGTTTATAGTAATTAGTTACACTACTTGTTACTGGTAAAAAAGTAATATTATTACTAGTAATGCGTTACTGCCCAACACTGCTCATCTAGTAGAGGTAGCAACCATGGGTTCGAGGCTGATCTCTGGCCCTTCCCCTCTTGCTCCCCCCCTTTCATGTCTATTTTGAGCTGATCAATGAAGGCAAAAACAGCCCCCCCCCCAAAACATTTTTTAAATGCTATAAAATTGTTTCGAAGATACCATAGCACAGTAATATTTAAGCAACCATCTTAGAGAGAGAGGCTTCATTTGTTTGGGGTCTTTGCATTTAAATTGTCAGGAGGTTGACCACAAGCTAGTGGGAAAGTACATTAATATGCCTTTCCTGCCTGTTTTTAGGTGAAAAGGTCAACCCAAATACTCTCAAGAAATAAAATGTAAAAACAGGAAAAAAAAAACCTACCCTAGCCTCCAAAAGCACAGTTGATAAGGCGTTATTCCTCACATATACACACAATTTCCTGTTCCCTTACTCTTACTCTTACTCCTACCCCTAATAAACTGACATAGCATGATCTAAAAAAAAAAAACCTCTGTGAAGAAGAGAAGGGACAAGGATAATAAGACAAAAACAGAGGCAAAAGAAGAAGAAATAGATAGTAGACAGGGAGAAAACAGTGTGGCAGGATCCCGAGGGCCTGGCTGGGGACTTTGTAAGAGCCCATACATCAGCTGTCACCCGATGGGCTTCCAAAGAGCCACAGCAGAGAAACACAATAGACTGGACAGATGGTCCCAAACAAACTGCAGCGGGTTTGATGCTATTAAAAGCTGTTTACCTCATGCCAGACGCCAGCAAGTGTGGTGGATGCATTGTATGATCATTTCGGAATGACTGAATGTGTGTGTACGTGAGTTTGACTACCAGCCCCTGGTGTTTCAATAAACCCTCTGGTGTGTTTTTAGCCACCAAATGACCATTCCTAGCTTGAGTAAGATGTGTATGAGTGTGTGTGTATGTGTGTGTAGTTTTCTCATAATTAAGATACAATCAAAGACAACACGTGATGGCCAAACACAAGCAGTATGATGATTGATTTGCACACAGTGGATCCCAGCCAACTCTGCAGGCAATGACGAACATTTGGCTGATAACCAATAACCAGACAAATATTAAACAGACCCCCCCCTTCCTTCTCTGTTACTCCCTCCCATCCTCTCCCCTTCATCTGCTCTCCTAAAGAGCGGCTCTGACACCTCAGAATGATGAACTCCTTCAATGCGCTGACCTTTCTCCTTCGGACTAGTCACCCGCCCTCCTGCCCTCGTCCATGTAGATGAGACAGAGACAGATGAAGATATTTTGCAGTGTGTGTGCATGTGTGGGTGACAGTGAGGATGGTGGGCGGGACTGTCGTGCAGTGACACAGTGAAATTAGTTTTGGTGTTGGTGGATGGCGGCCGACCCACCTTCAGATCAGCAGTCAACCAGGGAGATTAATCCAGACGCAGGAGGCCTGTTGGAGAGTAGTGACGGCAGCCCCGGAACGACAGGAGAGAGACAGGCAGGTCGACAGACAGATGGGGCGGATGGGTTCATGACAATGATATACCTCCTGAGATTGTGTCCATACATCTATGTGCGTAACTTTCATGTTCAACATACAGATTGTTGGACTGCTGGAGACATGAATAATGAAAAAAACAAGTTTCTTCACCATGACATGTAAAAATAGCCCAAATCTTACAGTTCCTGAATCATTAACCAATTAACACAGGCCTGGTGTTGCTCTGTTGGATGGTTTTCCCTTCCAACCAATGGGACATTACCAAGCTGTGTCAGACAGATCAGGAAATCCTACGGTCAACACTTCAATTACTTCTAAGTTACTGCTTATGGGTAAAACACATCCTATAGAATAGATACAACTTCACATTTTCACACCAGCTGACTGTACAGTCTGGCTAACATAGTAGCAAACATTATAATATGGCTTGTGTTTTAAATCTCTTATATTTCCTCACGTTATCATAAGGCCTGTATAGTTACAAACTTGATTGTGAGATAACCCTGTAAACATTAGAAACTAGCTGATGCAGGGTGGGAGGACTAACAATATCTAATAGATTAGCTAAAATTGCTGAGTGTAACTCTGAGATTTTTAAACTCAGTTTAATATATAACACTCTTGGCCAGTCTCGCAGGATTAGTCTTGAACTCTTTGAGCTCAAAGTAAATACTGGCACCCAATATTCTCATATAAACTGTTGAAATCAGCAATCAGAGGTACCTCCATGTCCATTGTGAATAAATGTCCATAAATTTACTCAGTATGTAGAACTACTTAGCTATAATCGTGCCTCATACTAATATTTTTAAGGCAAGGCGTTGCCTTGTTTTAATTTATTTTATTTTTAATGTATGTTTCATTATTCTTCATGTAGTAATAGTTTTGGGTATTTACATTGGTTAAGTATAAATACGATTTAAAACAATGCAAAGTTCTTATACAAATGTTTTTCATTGACTGTGTGATAGCAAGGTGGAGTTGTGATTAGAGATATTGTCCCATTGGATCCAAGCAGCAATCCAGGTGTCTGGCAGCGGTCATCTGAGTTTTTGAAGTGGAAGTGTCCTTGAACAACCCTTACAGTACTTGCTCAGTCATTATAAGACAATCCAGCTGAGAGCATCTGCTAAGTACCTGAAATGTAAAATGAGAAGTTGATGAATATGGTATCATTAGCCACGCTTGTCTTGCCTTCTTCGTTTTCTGCTTTAATTGGCTCCAATTTATAATCCTCCACCTTTGGGCCATCCTTTGTAATTTTGTCTTGTTTCCTTCTATAATTGGTTCAGATCAGTGCATCTTACAGGTCATATAGAGGGGAGAAACCCTTGGATAATTTTTATTCTCTTTAACTTGACTCATGTTTTACATGGACACTAAAATACCTTTGTTTGTTATTTAAAGAGTTATGCATTTGTGCCATTTAGGGTAGCTGACACCTACACACACAATCCTACATGTGTGTTCATATTTTGAGGTATTGAATTATCAGCTTAATGTATTCACATTTTTCAAGATGGACCATGAATAAAGAATTTTGGAAGAGAACTCTTTACTCTTGTGTGTGGTCATGCCACGTTTTAGGTCATACTTCGGAAATTACAAATAAATATGAGCAATTTCTGCATTTAATTGATGCTCCAAGTGCATGTGTGTTTGTGAGAGCATGCCGCACATGTAAATGAATCAGTTAAACCACATATAGACCCTGTTGAATGTTGCTCTTGGATGGTGTCTGTATAATTATTCGTTACAAATACAAAAATTACACCCACTATGTTGTATTAGGATCTTTCAGGGTAATATTTGGTTTGTAAAAAATGCATGACATTCTGTCATGTCTTATGAACTTCAAATATGATAATAATGGTCTTTTATATGTTATTATTCATTGCAACATGACTTTAAGACACTGCTGCTCACTTACTTGCTCTGAGGATGTCTCCTTGTATGAGTGCATTTGTGTATTCAGTTACTTTTCAGTGTAGCTGAACACTGTTGCCGGACCTAACTGTGTGCGTGTGTCTGTCTGTCTTCAGGTCAGCTGTCCATTCCTTGTGTTACAGAGAGACTAGAAACTCCCTTGAGCCAAACCTCCAAAGGCCCTCATCTGCATACAAAGGTAACTGATTCCTTACACACACATATACCCAGCAGGGTATATCAGTCATTTCAGTGGGACTTTGAGCTTTGGGTAACAGGGCAGTTCACGGGTCAACAGCGGCATTTGATCTTCGACCTTAGGACAAAAACAGACTTTAGTCGGCGGCTGAGCGATTACTATGTTGGGTTAACGCATTCAGTAACAGCAGATCTGTTATTACTCTTCAGTTTGATTCAGATCAGTTTGATTAGGTTTTATTGGGCCTAATTATCATAACATAAATCAAATTTGTGATTCTCCACTATTAACTCTATAGTAATAAAAAGCATGGTAAACCTTTATACATTTAAAACTAAAAGTTTTCCTTATTAAAAATGTATTCAGTAAAACATAATTAAACTCAACAACAGCTTTTTATTTTTTATTTTAAATTTTTAATTGTTACATAATATATACATATTTTTTTAAATATTATTTGCTTTATAATTATTAAATAATCAACAGAAAGTAACTTTTTTATTTTCTGAATTTGGTGAACATTTATTATCATTATGTATTTATGTATTTATTTTCAAATTACCAGTGTTCTCCAAAATCATCTCTTATGTAAAACAAAACTACTTACAGGGCTGAGCAGAGGTCCCTTTCTCTCTCCAACTCACTCTCTCTCATACACACAGCCTCACATACGCTCACCAGAGCTTGACTGACTGCCTCTCCACTGAAATAAATGGAAGCCTCCAACTCCCTGATCAGACTCTCTGCATATCCCTGTCCCCCTGGTGGCCAGCATTAGAACCACATCACTCACCACATATACATATCTTCTTTAACAAGTTACTTTAATTTATGCTTGATGTAAAGTCTTTCCAAAGTGAAGAACATTTTTTGTGCTTTAGATTCATATACTAAGAGGTTAAGCACCTTGTTGAAGGTCATGTAAACGGTTATTCTTAATAGAGGTAAGAATGTTAATCACTTTACACTCTGAGGTTTTTCCGGTTGAATAAGTGATTCAAATGCAGCCATAAACCAACTTCTTGAAACCTCCAGTCCAGTGGTTTTCATTTATGTTGTTTTTTGTGACCAAGAATACTGGTTTTCTGCCTCATAAAGTAGTTAAATTACTTAATCGGTACAGTGTGCGCAATGTTGGCAAAAGATAGACACTTGTAATTAACTGTTAATATTTGTATAGTGTTGATTGTTTGAGCAGCCATGTTAATTTAATGTCACAACATAAAACTGGGGTTTGAGAAGAGATACCCTACTCCTTATTTAGGAACTCTGATTCTAAGGTTTTAATTTATTTGTTTTTATCCCTAAGTAAGTATTCCTCATGTCCGAATTATAAGTGAAAGTGGGATGATTGTCTAAAATTAATCCAAGATTAAAAAACACTGCTCATGTGTACCTCCTCCCCCTTGAAAACACAAATAGCGGTCAAATTTTCAACCAAATTAGGAAATAACACACAAAAATGACAAGTTAATTTGAATTTAAAATAAGAGGTTTTATCTAAACAAAATGTTTTAACAAATATTACTAAAATCAGACTCTAAGATCAAATGATCAACGCTCCAGTTTCTCTTCCTCTCTGCCTCTTTCACCCTTAGCAAACTGCTACCACACAACAACTTTCAACTGTCCTACCTCCGATGTGATTGAAGCTGACTTTGCTCTCCACCCAGCTTTGTTTTTCTTCACCGCCGTTGGGTGGTCCGTGTCTCTCGCTCCCTCTCCAGTTCACTCTCTCTCTCTCACTCATTGTCAAGTTCACAGCGTCTGTTTCTGTTTGAGAACTACGGGACCCAGGCATGGTCCGAAACTCAATACCAGAGTATACACAATTAAGTTCACACCAGAGGTTATTGGGTGGAAGTGTGGTCTCATTCCACAAAATGTGCGAGTCAGTCAAAGGATAGGAGGGTGTAAGTGTTTATGTGTGGTTGGTTAGTTGGTCAAGGTTAACTAAATGATAGGAGGTGCCGATTCTCGGGGCGGTCCTCTTCAGTCAGAAACTCTGGTCTGGTACTGGTTGCCTGTTGCCTGCCGTTGGAGACTTCGCCTTGACAGGTTGTGCTGTCCAGTCGTAATCAAAGATAAGATTTTTGTAAGTGTGGCCATTGTTTTCAGCTGTGTTTGATTAATGATGTGATTCATGTTGCTAGATTGTTGTCAGGCTTTTTGTGCCCTGTGCAAAGTTAATGTACTTTAACTTTTTACTGGCTGCTAGGTTGTTGTGTTTTGTCATATTATCAGAATAAAAGCACAATTATTTTTTCAGACCCTTGAGTGGCTCACTCAGCTATGAGTGATACAGCAGCACCATGCATGAATCTGTTATAAATATGACATAGGTCCTTTGCTTAAGTTTGTTTTATAGGCTCTAGGATATTGTGTTTTAGAAAGTAATTCTCCAAAAAATTATGATTTGGAAACAAGTGACAATTAGTGACGTTAAAATCACACATTATGGAAGATATTTCTCAATTTATCTTCCAATCTAATCTACTTTTTCAATCTTTATGACAATGATCTCATTTAAAAAAAATCTAAATTAGAGACATAGCATGAAGAAATGAACCAACATTTTAAAAGAATCCCTAGGCTGTTGAGGCCTGTTTCATCAAAACAATATTCCTGGGTTTTGCCCTGCTGAACTCTGACCTTTTCCAGCCTGTTGAGTGTTTCAGTGTTGGACCAGTTAGCCATAGCTCTCTCTGAGAACCATTCACACGCGATTGGGAGTCCCATGACAGGCCAGCTGGAACCTTCAGTCCAGCCGCTGAAACACACATACAGACACAAAACCTCCATGGAACTCCTACTGGCCAGCGAGCCTGTCAGTCACTCAATTGGAGGGTTATGAACGTGTGTGTGTGTGTGTGTGTGTTGTGGGTGTTGTTCGAGCTTCCTGTTTTGGTTGTACGTGCTTAAGTTCTTCCTGGCTGGGGAACTGTTGGTGTCATGTCTGTCAGCTATGGGAGTAGTAAGAGACATTGTAATATACACTAGGGTTAATATGGGGATTTTGCAGCTGATACCTGATACCTTTAATGATTTTCCACAGTTACACTATGTTTTGACATCAATCCAATATTAACTTTTGCCATTATCAGTTTACAGCACCATCCAACAAAAGAAAAAAACAAACCACATGTTGTAGATGTTATAGTAGATTTGATCGAAAAATCATCTGTCAAGTTGTATTCATTGGGACATGAATACAGTTTGACAGATGGTTTTTGTTCAGGCAGGAGGATCTCTTAAAACCGAGGGCTTTATGAAAAGTAAAGCAGATTTGTAAATATTAGTGAAATTTCTGAGGTGTTACTGTCATTTTACAGTAAACCCATTCTTTAAAAAACATGAAAATAAACTGATCAGCATACAGTTTTATATTTGACCAAGACACACTAATAACTAAGAGGGAAAAGTATCTGTACTGGCTCACTCTGAACCTCCTAGAACATCAGATTTTTTAATTTTTTTTTTTAAATGTGTAGCTTATAAAACATGTTTAACCACTTGAAAACACATGACCAAAACAAATGAGTTAAAAAAAATCGGGTACCAGTTGGTATCAGTACATTGTAAAAACAGCAATTCTAATGTCATTTAAGTAGATTGATAAAATGTATGCATGGTCTTTACTTCTGTAAGCACCATTTATGGGAAAATGTCACATTGGGACTTTAACAGAGACTCTATTAGTGAGAAAGACCTGATAGGAGTAATCTACTATCCTTTTCACTCCTGATCTCTTACATACAAATGCACATAAACATATGCACAATGTTAATACCTCACACACACACACACACATACACTTACTCAGGCCTCTCCATGAGAGCTGGGTATTTCTTGGGAGAGGAGCACCAGTCATGTTCCATTAATCCAAAGCAACCAGTGGTGATTGATCAATTAGCCCTGCTTAAAGCTGGGGCTCAGGCTGATCAATAGCACTGATTACCAGCCAAAGGTTTTTCATTAAGACCTGCTGCTCTGCATGAGTAGACGCCATTAGCATAGACCAAATGGGCTGTGAGGAATGCAAATGCTGGAGTGAAAACACACACACACACACACACACACACACACACACACACACAACAAGGCCACATAGTTGCTCTCTGTCTAGTGTATATATATGGGTATAACTAATTATAGTTTTGTGACTACTTTGCGATCACATGCATTTCTATTGTATTTTAAAGCCTCCATTAAAGGAAATCTATTATATTATGTAGAAAGTGCTGTTGTTGTATTAGACTGGATTATATTGTAAGGTAATCAAATGTAACAAATCTGCTTTAGTACCATCAGCACAAACAGCATTTTCAAAAATGATCAAGAAAAAGAGAATCAACAACTCTCTGAGTGTCATTGTAGGATGTTCTTGATAAGAATGGCTGGAAAAATACAAAACATATATGAGTCATATTGCCTCCAAATAGTCTTTACGATGCCATAATGAGCCTGTGTGGTAGTATTTCCCTTTCATCCCACTCACTGTCAGATCTTTTTGTTAGTTACCTGAAAAACAGCGGATGTTGCTGCACCACAGCATTATTTCTGATGCACGACCCCATCAAACCCACGGGATCATCCGTAGCTTAAAATACAAAAACAGCGGCTAGCTACCAGTGACAAACTCACCTTTCTCACCCTTTCCTAACCCTCAGAGGGGTACAGAGCCATTGTTTCACTTAAACAATCCTCATTGAATTAAAAACCTGGCTGCATGCTTTGTTCAGTGAGACCGATGCGTACTGCTGTCATGGGTCCTATCGTTAATGTGCCATCACTGCACCTCACATCCTTAGCAGACACAGGCAGCGCTGAGCTTATTTCCTCCATCTGTAGGTGAATGTGAGCGTACATAATGCATCTGCATGTGTGTGTTTGTGCCTGCGTGTATGTGAGAAAGAGAGAGAGAGCGAGAGTTCAACACTATACAAGTGTGTTGGTAGATGGGATGAATGAGTAAGAGAGGAGGTTGGAGAATGGGTCGT